CTCAGCTGCCTCAGGTTCCCACCCCAGCACAGACCAAAAGCTCACAGATACCAAACTTGTACGCAGTGTGCTGAACAGAAAGAGGCCTTGACTGTGAGCCAGGGTGCAAAGCATTCATGTGTAGAGTTTAGAAGGCGTTGTCTTACAGTCTGCAGCGGGAGAAAGTGCATGGGTGTGGAAGGGCTGCAGGTCAGCATCAAGCGATGCTCTAGCAGGCCTTAGAGGCAATTATGTTTATTACTTGATGGCATAGACCAGCGTATTAGAAGCAAGGTACTCATTGGAAAGCCGCACTGCGGAGCCCTGTTTTGTACCTATGGAGCTGGAATCTGCATATTTACAGGATTCCACAGGGCTGAGATGCCCAGTAAAGACTGAGAAGCAGCGACATAGAATATGAAGACCTCGTTCCTCGGGTTTTATAACACTGGACAGCACCTCAGTATTCTGGAATATGCACCCCAATTCCTGCTGTGGTCTAATCATAGAACAAAAACAAAAAAAACCCCCAAAAACAAACAAACAAACAAACAAACAAAACAGGTATGACATCGGCTGTTTTTCCTTTACAGGATTGTTGTGAGTTTCAAATGACATGGTGGATTGTCACATCAGCTGTTCAGTGTGATAGTGACAGGCTGGGGACCTGACAGGAAGCAGAACAGGCTGGTTCCTGGCTCCCCTGGGGCTGACGGCCTGGTGGATGGAAAAACATGTAAATGCCAGTCGGTGTACATCATATGTCATTGTGATGACTTAGTCATTCACTCATCCATTCATCTGTCCACCGTTTACTAGAACCTGTACCGCAGCAAGCATCTAGATACTAAGGATGCTACACACCTACAGGAGCTGCCAACGCTGCCCTCCAACAGCTTCCTGTCTGCCCAGACAGAGAAGGCAGCAGATGGGCCCAGTCTGAGCACACTATGCTAATGCTCTGGGGCGAGAGGGGAGTGCAGTTAAGAAACCGCGGGGCTGGACTTTAAAGGGTGGCTCAAGTTCCTGGGCTGTGGAGGGAGAGAGCAGCATCCCAGGAGGCAGGAGTATGAGGCAGGGGCAGGGGACACTTCTGACCACTGGGAAGCTTCATAGAATCGGGGGCAGGCCTAGTGGGGATTTCAAAGTACTCTGGGACCAGATCCTGTTTGATGCTAAGACATCACTGGTCTTTAATAGGAAATGGGGAGTCCCCCCAAAAGAGCACTGAAAAGGCCACAGCTCTGCTTTGGGAAGCTTTTTGATGGTAGGACGGTCCCTTTTTAAGAGACTCCAACAATGGCCTGGGGTAGAGATACCTAAGTCCTTGACTGGAGTGCTGCATGTAGACCTAAGAATGGGCAGGAGCTGTAAAGGAAGGGAGAACTGCCTGGGTGACTGTGTGGAAGGGAAAGGGACAGTGGAGGGAAGGGAGGCTCTGGCTCAATGCGTGGTGACCAAGGTGAGAACAGAAGAGGAGGATTAACGGGGGAGCTCAAAGCTGGGTCGGCTAAGGCAAGGCTGTAACATCTTTGGGAGCCGTTCCTGGCTTTGTCTGCCATGCAGGAGCCTGGAGCGAAAGAGAACTGTCCAGACTAGACACAAGAACTTGTTGGGTAGGTACTGAGATGTGAGAGAGGGTCAGGATAAGAGGCCACGAGAATTAGAGGTGGCAGCACTGAGAGGACAGTCAGAAGATGTCCATGAAGGAGGCAGAGCGGGGCAAGAGGGCCTCTGCTTCCCCGGTTCGTCTGGGCACCGGAGGAAATGTCCAGTGGTCGCTGCCACCATCCAGCACAGACATCTCTAGGAACAGTCCTGCAGCACGACTCTAACATCCCAGTGTAGACGGCAGCCGGGGCTAGGGAGCCTGAGAGTATAAAAAGACAGACCTGGGGGGGGGGACCCCCTGTTCTCCCCACCGTCCCACCTCTGCAGGCACCGGAATATTGAGCTTATCTCAAGCTTATCTCCATGAAATGGCATGAGCAAAAATGCTTGAGTTTGTTTGGCTTTTATCAGCCGAGGACCCAGCACCTCAGCCCAGAAGATTCCAGACCATGCTAGCTAGGTTGATTCCAATGAGCTCATTCTTTCATTATCATTGAGAGCATCCGAGCGTCTGTTGCCATCATAATAAACCAGAGGATGTTACAAAACAAATGGAAAGAGAGATGGCCTCAGCTCTGGGTGACTGAGCTCCTGCTAATCCCAAGGAGCAGGCCCCTGGCTTTAAACTGATAATGACTCCTAGCAGCCAAATAATTGATCTAGCTGGTGTTCTGGCTTTAAGGGAAAGTCAATTGGCCTCTTTAGAAGTGTTGGCAGCCTGGGCTGGTCCATTAGGTAAGACCGAAAAATCAAAACACTGTCTGGAAGAAGCCATATGACCAGGCTCAGCAGAAGTCATCAATAGATGACATCATCTCAGAAGTTAGCAAGCCAAGGTCATGAGGCCCCCAGAGCAGGGTCAACTCACCCTTCATGGCTCCCTGCCACCCTCCTTTACAGATACTGAAGTCAGCCAGGGGACATAGGGGCCCAGACCAGGGCTGCTTAATTTTACCCCCCCCTTTTTTTTTTCCTCAGCAAAATCCTGAGGGTTGGAAGCCATATGCAGAGCTGGTGAGGTGTGGCAAATTCTCAAGGAAGGACCTCAATCCTGCCATGGGCACGCCCCTCGGATTCTTTTACCCCTGTGGTCTCCCCAGAATTTACCCCTTACCACACTCATCTGGGCCTCCCTTCTGCATGCGCTCCTCCTAACACCTTCCATCACCTTTATTTTCTTCTCTGAGCTGAGGGGGTGGGCAGCGTGGGAGAGCTGGCACCTGTCTCTATGTAAGCTCCTGCCTCTGCCTCCCTAACCACAGCCTCAGAAGGTACCAGAAAGATTTAAACTAAGCTCAGGCCTTGTCCACCATCAACCCCTACTACACACTGAACGAAGTGGCTACTCTTGTTAGCCCTGTGGCACACAGGGGGAAACCGAGGAGAGATCAACGGTGTCACCAGCGGGTCATAGTTCTGAATGCCCGGCCATGCCACAACCAAGTCCCCACTGCCCGTTCCTAATTCCGACGATGGCTTCTCTCCACTCGCCAACCACTCTGTCCCTGGGCAGCGTGGGAGAGCTGGCACCTGTTTCTATGTAAGCTCCTGCCTCTGCCTCCCTCGCCCACCTCTCCACTTGACTCTTGTAAAGCCACCTCCCACCCCACCCCCACCCCACGCCTCAGCACAAGGTAGGTGCCCCTCTCCTCCCTGCACTTCCTTTTTCTCATGCTAGAGGGCTTCCTGGAAGTGCCCTCTGCACTCCAACTCCACTAAAGACCATCTTGTCCACTGAGGTCACTTCTCAAGGTCACGCTGGGTGGGTAACAGAGCTGGGGCTGGAGCCGGGGTCCTGAACTCCGGGCCATTCCCCTTTGTCACTTAGAGCTGACACCACCTAGTCCCTGTTTGATTTTTCTTTTTTTCCCTTGCAGTGAAGCTGCAGCAAAGAGCCCTGCCCAAGAGGAGGGAGAAGGTGTCAGACCCTGATAAGGTGGGCTGGGACTATTTTTAGAAGACTCTAGTTTCCCTCTTAGGATGCAAGGCACCCGAGGGCCAATGGCTGTTTAACCCGTGGACTGTGAGCCGAGCTCATTAGAGATAAGATGCCAGAGTGACAGGTTCCCTGTCTTCACTCTGCCTGTTCGTTGTGAGGTCTGAAGTCGGTGGGAACCTTCCTATGGGGCTTGCTTCCCCCTCCACTCCTTTATCTGTGAAACATGGAGACAGTTTTAGAGAAAAGTGAGGAATCTGCAGGATCTATTACTAGAATCTTCACACTATTACTCCAGCCTGGGAAAGTCCCAGACATAGGCATATCATAAAAGAGCGACTCAGAGTCCCTAGACCTGCCAGGGAAGAGCCAGTTAAGAGGAAAGGCAGGAGGACAGCATGGGGTAGGCATGACCTTGAGCAAGGGGCTCTGCTGCCCTTCACGGGCAACAAAAGGACTTTCGGAGGAAGATCAGCTCTATCCGTGTCCCTACTAAGGAAGAACCCAGGATCCGGGCCTCCGGTCCGGCTCTGCTGGGGACAGGTGGTCTTCAAGAGTCTCACTGTGGGAGGTGAGCACCAGCTGGGGGAGGCTAAGGAGAGAGTGGGGACTTCTTGTTAAGGTGCCACAGCCCGTTCAGTTCATTTGGTCACTTGTTTTGCCAAGGTGCTGCTAGCTCTACTCAGCCTAGAGACGTCCTGAAGTACCCCAGACACACTTCCCAGCCTATTCCTAGTTCTGAGAACCGCCTGACTTCGGCAGCTGCGTCCCCAGCATCCCTAGCCCGAAACTGGAGAACAGGTGTGGGCAGTTGAGAGCACGCCTGGCCGCTCTCACCGTCTCGGGCGCCATCGGCTCAAAGGACTCTGACTTCACTCTACAAACGGGAAACCGAGGTCCAGAGAAGAAAGGAGGATTACTTAGGCCACCACTGAGCTGGCGACAGCCAGCGGCCTCCTGCCTCCAGGCTCTTCCCTGTCCCACCTGGACGCGCAGCACCATCAGCTGCCGTAAACCTCGCTAGCTCAGGCAGTTTGGCAAACTTTTCCCCGCACGGGCCAGATCCGCACTTAGCGGCCCCGGAGCGCGGACCCACTTCCTTCCCAGATTCCCGGGCGGGCTCGCGCCCAGCTCCCACTGTGTTGATGCCCGCGGGGGCAACCCGGGCGGCCCCCAAGGTCCCGAGGCGGCCAGGTCTAGAGCCTCGGGGCCCCTGCCGAGGACCGCGCGCGTCAGGCTGCGGGGACTCGAGCTCCAGCGACTCGATCTCCAGGCTGGGGAACCGAACCCCCGGACCCCCTAGTTCCGAAGGCCACCCGAGGCGGCGGCTATTTATAGAGGGAACCATGCTCAGTCCCTTCTCGGCGGCGGCGACAGCTGAATTTTTTGCCCAGATATGGCTGCGCCCCGGCGCGGCGGCGGGCAACCCCGCGAGGCCGAGGGGGCTCCGCGGCTGGCGGGCGCGGGGTCTTACCGGAATGCTGGGCGGCAGGAGCGCGCGCGGCGGCAGCGAGCGGAACGCTGGGCTGGGCGACCTCGGTCCCTGGCGGCCGCGGGTGGGAGCCGGGGGCGGGCCCTGCTCCGCTGTCACCGCGCCCCGCCCAACCCCAACGCCCTCCCTGCCCTCCAGCTCCGCCAGGGCCGCCCGGGCGCTGCGCGGGCCCGGGCGGGGGAGCGGCTCTCGCCAGGAGGCTCGCGGGCCACCCAGGCCTCCCAGCCAGGTGAATGAGTCGTTCCGAAGCTCTCGGGCTGCGTTGGAGGTCTCTGGACAAAGATGGGCAGAGCTTTCTTCTCGCGGGGTCTAGAACGTTCCGGAGAAGGCAGCCCAGCTCCACCTCGCTCTTCCTTTGAAGAGGCAACCTGTCCTCTCTCCCCCCCCCCCCCCCCCCCC